CCGCCGCACACGTGAGTAAAATGACTCATGCGTCATTTTACTTGAGTAAAATAACTCACATGTGCGCCGGGCTTTGTTCTCGCTCTGGTTGGGTCGCTTTCTGCCGTGGTGTTACCCTAACTGATTTCAGCTGTTTCTGAGTGCAGACGGCAATTAATTAAGACGTCTGCTTGCGATGAATACTAACGACTAATGTGTGATTTTCTTTTCATTGCAGTCTTCAATGATCCAAATGCCTTTGAGTATTTAGAGGGCAGAGGCGCACATGTAAGTAAATCGCATTCAATTCTAAATGGCAAATCGCACATGAGACGTTTGTCTCATAGTGAACAGCAGTGCTCCGTATATCAATCGATAATCGATCGATCAAACAGATGTGCCTCTTGCGTGTTATAGATGAAACCTAGTGCGCTGGCACGACAGTCTCTCTACCAAATGTTTGATCCGATGCTTGGAACTCCCAGCCCACCAGCCCAGCGGACCGCTGCTGCGGCACCTACTATTATCAAAGAGCAACCAGAGAGCTCAAACCCAAAGTAAGATTTGAATGTGCGCTGTTTCATATGCCTACTGAAGTTTTTGAAATTACAGCTAAAATATGACTTGCTGCTTGACCGCGATGAATATTGCATCTGTACAGTCCACCTTCACTCGTTTGCAAAACTTTGTAGTGTTAATGATTGTTCATATAGTCGCTCTCATTAAAGCATTGCTTTCAGTCGTCAGCATGTATGTGTGTTTCAGCGATGAGACGTTTGCGTTGATGGGCACACCACCTTTGTCGGCGCGCCCCGCTCCCATGTCCACAGAAACACCGCCCGGGTTATCACGGTGTATCCTGGACCAGACTAACATGCTCGATGCCAGCATAAACCCTGCGGTTAGTGAAAAGTCATTAGAGATCTAGGCGCCTTAAATCGACTACGTCACGAATTTTCTATGGTGTATATTTGTAAAAGAAATTGTTGCCATTTTTTTTGTACATTAAAAGTAAGTACTAACAGGACTAAATGTATCGTCAAATTCTTACCTGATAAGATGATTTCTCAACTAGTTAAAAATCCAAAAAACCTGGATGATTTGATATTATGATCCTGACATTAATTGCTTGCTAGGCTATGTATGATTCCCGAGTGTATGTTTACATCAAACAAACAAAATAGGAAATAGTAAATAGTAAATAGGAAGTATAATGCAGCAATTTAAAACCATAAAAGTGAACAGAATTACTTGCATTTTTTTTATTTTTTTTATTTACTGTGACATAATCATTTTAAAGGAATAATATGGCCATTGATTACGCAATGTTGACGAATGCTAGAGTAACTGGCATCTTGTGTAGTTAAAGGAATAATATGGCCATTGATTATGCAATGTTGACGAATGCTAGAGTAACTGGCACCTTGTGTAGTTAATAAGTACATTACCTTATAGCCAAACGCGTATTAGTTTGTCCAATATCACTGCTGGTTACAAAGAAATGTCTAATTGAGTGAAATCCGCAGTCCAAAAAATGTTTACAGTTTA